GGGGGGGGGGGGGACCTGGGTGGGGGGGTGGGAACTGGGTAGAGGGGAGTTATGGTGGGAAAATAGAGGAACCAATGTAATAATCTGAACAATAAAGATTTAATTTAAAAAAAAAGAATTAAATAAGATAGCACATATTTAAATACTAATAAAAGTCACTTAGCGTAGTTCTTCACACATAGTAAGCAGAGTAATAGATCAGTACATAATATTCTATTTAAAATACTTCTGACTGCTGTTATTTACTTCTTACCCAAGTAAATACGTTTTCATTTGTCTCTATAAGGCATGTGTAGAAGTAATGGCATGTGTAATACTGACAGATGTAAGCAGTCAAGAAATGCTATTGTTCTATTATTAGAACTATTATTCTATTTACTATACTATCCCTACTGAAAGTGCTTTCCTTATTCCTTTCCTATAATTAAAATGTTTTACTTGTTTCAAAAGCTCAGTTCAAGGTTTACTGCCTTCATAAAATCCCCCGGATTAATCCTTTCCCTATAAGAATTTCCCCTTATTTGGTATGTAACACCCTACCACTTTAGCTTGCATTTGCTTAAAGAGAGGTTTACCTAGCTGTTTTACAATTATGCCTTCCTATCTCACCTCAATCTGGCCCCAACTAGGTCACAAGTTCCACAACAGGGCAGGGGCTGTGATTCTCTTTCAGAAGAATTTTAGGACCCACCCTGTGAAAATATGGTTAAGAGGAGGATTCTGCTTTTAAAAGTCAGGTTTTCATCAGTAACCATTCGCTTTATAGTTATATCAAAGATAGTATTTTAGTACTGAAAATTAGGTTCCCTATCATTCATTGTTTGTTCTAACAGAAAAGATGAAAACAAACCAAAATAGGTGCTGATTAGATCTGCCTTCTTTCTGTGCTATACTAGTATTAATATTACATCATCTTTCCTGAGCAGTGGTTTTTATAATTTCCTGGTTTTTTATTTTTTTGGAGGGGGGTGATGGAAGGAAGGCTATAAACATAACTTAAAAATATCCATTTTGTGGTCTTTGTTTCATTATTTTCAGGTCTTTCTTGGTTTAATCTGACAAGAGTTATAGGACTATGACATTTATTTTGTCATTTATTATATCCTTTAAAATTTAATTAGAACAGATCTGACAAAGTCATACTTTTGTTCCTTACCAGGATTGTCTTGGTGCTTAGACAAAATATATATTTCTAGAAAATTCCTTTGAAGTAATTTACTTTTTAATTCTTTAGCCACACAATAAAAAAGGTTTACTTTCTGAGTATAATAAAATCTGCTTTTCTAAAGTATAGGAAAGTCACCTGACTACAGCAAACATTCCCTTTCTTCACAATTAGAGACTCAAAGAGGAAAAGGTCCATTTATCCAAACCTTCCTATCACTTCCACAGGACTTACTGGTCAATAGGAAGCAGTTGCCCCTGTTGTCTCAGTGTTTTAGGAAACTATACTGACTTTAAAAAGTCAAGAATTGATCAAATTATTTTCTCTCAACTGAAAGATTATTCAA